CACCATTAACAAAAAGCAATATTATAGTTATATAACTTTTCAGATGTTTTTAATTCAGTATTTTTTTCAATATTCTTCTAAAATTCAACCACAATATTTACCTAAAAATCAAATAATACCGGTTTTATGCATTTTCGTATTAAACCTGTAGTCAATTCATGTTCCAGGGCCACTTGGTTTAGCCGTGCATTATCAGCCAATATACCATGGATTGCATATGCAAATTTTGTGTTTGGACCAATCAAATCAATGGATTAACACCATCAATATACTGGTATAATATAATACATTATAACACAGACATGTTCAACCAATGATGTTTTGCACAAAACGCTGTGTACAAATTCTACTTACATCTTTGGGAAATGTAGCGACTGCAACCTTCATTATATTGGATAATGCCATCTTGTACTGTGCTCTCATACGACTAAACTCATCCAGATGATACAGCGGTGGTAAGATCTGACAAGAAATCACATCAAATCTACATATATTAATACGAATCATCTTTTGTTGACATATGAATAAAAAAAAACTTAACGAAAAAAAAATTGGGGTTGGGTGTTCCTCCACTTTTCAATATTTTGCAAGTCAGTAAAAAACAGAATAGAATAGAATAGAATAGAATAGAATAGAATACAGGAAAACCCCAATTTCACAAATTGAACATTTTCTATCAGAGACTTGTACTTTCCCATTTCAGTGTGTACATGATGGGCATCTATCCTCATGCTGACCATTGGTGGGGGGGAGGGGGTATACAGACTAATTACGCTAGCAACCAAAGCCACCTACCTCCATTATTGTCAGTTGATCACAGATGAACTTGAATAACTTCCTGGATCTCCTGTTGTCTGCTTCATACAATGAACACAGCTGTTCTATGAGTGACACTACTAGTAAGTGATCAGGGACTGTTCTTCTCGCCAAGTTCAATTTCTGTACAACTTCACCTCGCCTCCGTAATAATTTCTGTCTTGGTGGAGACGGTGTTGAGTGTACCTTATTCAAATCAGAGTCTGATAGAAAAGAACAAATTATTCAAATTAAATAACACAAAATAATGTTAATTGAAATTTAAACAAGCAGCCTATCGGCTGAGATAGCTCCGTAATATCAAAGCAATCGGACTTGCCATTTTTTTTAAAGAAGTCAAAAATACCACTTTTTACCAAAAATGACAAAAATATTCACCAAACTTAGAGAATTGAAGATATCATCACGAAATAAACAAATCTGAGAGAGGTTCACATGTAGTACCTATATATGTAGTATCAAAGCAATTGGACTTGCGGTTTTTAACAAGAAGTCGAAAATATCACTTTTCACCAAAAAATGACAAAAATATTCACCAAAATTAGAGAATTAAAGATATCATTACAAAATGAACAAATCTGAGAGAGGTCCACATGTAGTACCTATATATGTAATATCAAAGCATTTGGACTTACGGTTTTTAACAAAAAGTCGAAAATATCAGTTTTTACCAAAAATGACAAAAATATTCACCAAAATTAAAGAATTATAGGTATCATTACAAAATTAACAAATCTGAGAGAGGTCCACATGTAGTACCTATAGATGTAATATCAAAGCAATTGCACTTGCGGTTTTTAACAAGAAGTCGAAAATATAGTTTTTACCAAAAATGACAAAAATATTCACCAAAATTAGAGAATTAAAGATATCAACATGAAATGAACAAACCTAAGAGAGGTCTACCCAAGGTACATATACACCAAGTATCAAAGCATTTAGGCTTGTAGTTTTCAAGAAGAAGTCGAAAAAGTAAAACATTGACACGGACGACGACGACGGACAATCACTCATATGATAAGCTCCGCTCGACAAAGTCGACAGCGGAGCTAAAAAAACAGAATGTTCACAAGAGTCATAAAACTACAACATTGCAAGTGATTTTGAATTTGCTTATTATAATTTGTGCACAAAAAATGTTCCCATGACAACAGATATTTGCAAAATGGTTTGGACAGAATCAAGGAGTTGTTGCTATTCAAATTTGAGGTGATAACTGAATACTAAAATACCAAGAATGTACAAGTAAATATTTCAGTTAAACAGCGACTATAAAGTCCTGCTCGAACTGACCATTGTACACATTCACAAATACAGGAAATGAAAAGACCCCCCATATCCTAACCCTTCAGCCCCCAAATTTAAGTGTATATGCCCTACTAGATAACACTAGGTGTCCTCAAAAGGGGTATATATAATTCAATTTGGGGGGAGGGCTGC